GAATTGCGCGTCAGTTCGCACCGACACGGGAGCGTCGTGTGGTTTCCTCAAAGACGTAATAAATTACTTCGTTCCTCGACCTCATGGCTGATCGTTGAGATTGTCCTCCTTTAAACGTGGCGCCAATACTTACGCAGTACACGCTACGACTCGGTCAGTGACTCGTGCCCCTGCCACGCAACGGGCCTTTCGTGCCGCGAATACTTCTATGCCACAGGAACGATAGGAACTAAATTAAGTTAGGCATTCAATTGGCGGCGAGCATCAGAGATATGGGAAAGGCGATTTAGGTATAACTTTTGTTGTGGAACCAGAACCCTTTATTATGGAGGCCGGGGATGGACATTTACCCGATAAGAGCCAATGTTTAGAAGGACAATGAAAGTTGCCGCTGCTGAAAGGATTAGACTCACTGGTGAACAGCCAAGTTGTTCCCGGAAGGGCCGCCCAATAACGTGGGCCCTCAGCTTACTATGCGTTTTTAACGACACAATGTCTTGGTTCTCATAATTTTGGACCACCCTGTACGCCCTACATCGCACGACACGCGTCCGCTGACTCTGCCTTCTTGCCGCGTGACGGGATCATGTCGGGTGCTCGGCAGGGTCAACCGTCCGTTGGACAAAGTCCAACGAGGGGGTAGTAGGGGGTTGTAGTGTGATGTTTTATGCTTTGTGAGTGCTAAAAAAAATTGCCGTTTCACTGCTGATGATATCCCCGCTCGACGGCTATTTTGGAGGAAATGTGGGTGGAGTTGGGCTGTGTCAACTGGTCTCAGAATCAAATACTATAGTAACAGCTCTGATGGTAAGGGTGGTGGTCGTTATTGGTGGACCTCCTGAGTCTCATGGTGGTGGAGGAGGAGGGGAGGGGTCGTGAAAAAATGGTACCAACGGTAGGGTTGACCCTGATGGTCGTCAAATTTTTGAAATTTGTCCAACGTGACGGTTGACCCTGGTGCTCGGCTGCATATCGCTCTCGGACTCACCAAAAACGCTAACGATTGTTTATTTTTCGAATCGATGCTATTAAACTTTTCACTGTGCCGTGGAAACGATAAGAAAAGAGACCAAAGCCTTACAAACAAAAAAATAGAATTCAAAATAAAAATTAGTTTACCATGCCCGTGCAGCGCAAGCTGCAACGAATGTAGTTCGTGATCGTGCGATGGCAGCCTCGTACAAGCAAGGCAGCCAATCAACCAACCATGAATTTCACAACGAGGAGGTTCGTATTTTCGTAATGGTGAGGATCGGATCGTATTTCGAGAGAAGTTCTCGTATTTTTAATGAGACACGTGAAGAAGCAGGTTTTTGAAAAGTTCAGAAAGAAATGATCGTGAGATTTGGAGCTATGCCAAAAAACTCCTCTCGAAGACAGAGTTTCAAGGTGCACCAAGACAACCAGGTTCAACAAGACCACCGATCGCTGGAGGAGTGGGGACATTTGGGAAACCCGAGCATACGGAGAGGTATCAGTTCAATTGCAAAACTCTCCCCAACGTAAACATTGACCCCTTTCTCAACTTCAATTTGTAGCTAACGAGCTGGCGTGATTCAGAAAAGATAAACAAGCAATATTGTTTAACTTCGCTGCTTGTCTCCCGCGCTCCAAATCTCATGAACATGTCTCATTTCGATGTCTCATTTTCCACTCGTTCCCGACCCTCATAGGTCCCATACTTCCTTGTCGCTGGTATGTCGATGTATCGTGTTTATCTAGGAGAACAGTTGATCAGTCGCAAGTATTGTAATTTTAAGATTGGTCTGATGATGGCATTATTGCCGAAAGCTTGCCAATAAATTGTGAAAGTCGAAGAGCTTCAAGAACATTCAATCTACGATCAAGGACCGTTAAAAATGTTGAAGCTAGTCCAGGCAGCTTTCCTGCGTCTGCTGTGTTCTCCGCCAGTAGCTCCAGTGAAGCTGAGCTGGTTCCCTAGTCCATAATTCCTGCAATAATTCCCATCGAAATTTGTGGAAAATCGTTTACCATAAATTTGAAAAGAGCTAGAAAATTTTTTTGGAATTCTGAAAACATCTTGTTGACGAAGCATTCACCTTTGCAATTTCTCCAACCGTCCAGCTCGTTGTCTCGCTACCTGTTATTTGTTATCGTGCCCCTATTTCACGAGTACCGCTTGGGATCTTCCTCAAGCCAGGCTACACCAATGATATATGAGATGGGCGAGG